CCTAACTGCCGCCCGCACGCCGGCCAGCTCCGCTCTCCCCGGCGCAGCTCCAGAGCATGCTGCGCACCGCCGGACTGCTCCCCCTTTGGCAGTGAGGAGCGCCTGCCCAGTGGAATGCATCGTGCAGGGGGGGGATGCCCCGTCAGAGTGGGTAAAGAACAGGTTAGGAACTATTTAGAAAAGCTAAACGTACACAAATCCATGGGTCCGGACTTAATGCATCTGAGAGTACTGAGGGAGTTGGCAAATGTCATTGAGGAGACTTTGGCCATTATCTTTGAAAAGTCGTGGCGATCGGGAGAAATCCCGGATGGCTGGAAAAAGGCAAATGTAGTGCCCATCTTCAAAAAAGAGAAGAAGGACAATCTAAGGAACTATAGGCTGGTCAGTCTTACTTAGGTTCCTGGAAAAATCATGGAAGGGATCCTTAAGGAATCTATTTTGAGGCAGAGAGTAAATTGATTAGGAAGAGTCAGCATGGATTCACAAAGGGAAAGTTACGCCTGACCAATCTACTTAGCTTCTATGATGAGGTAACTGGCTCTGTGGACATGGGAAAATCACTGGATGTGATATACCTTGACTTTAGCAAGGCTTTTGATACGGTCTCCCACAATATTCTTGCCAGCAAGTTAAGGGAATGTGGATTGGATAAATGGACGGTAAAATGGATAGAAGGATGGCTAGAAGGCCGGGCCCAGCAGGTAGTGATCAACAGCTCGATTTCATGATGCCAGTCGGTTTCGAGTGGAATGCTTTGTGATGTGCCGAGTGTGGGCACTCAGGGCACTCCAAGCCAGGACTGCTTTGCAAGCGGGGAACCCCTGAGAACTGTCTGTCCGGGGTTGGGGTCAGGTCCCTTTAAGCACAGCCCTCAGCTAGCCTGAGACAGCAGCTCCACGCTCTAAGTCCTAACCTGACGCCCTGCCGGCACTGCTTCCGGCCATCCTTAACCTCGGTTCAGGGTCTACTCAATGTGGACATGTTAGTTTGAATTAGCAAAATGCTAATTCGATCTAGTTTTTAGGTCTAGATGCACTAATTCGAATTAGCTTAGTTCGAATTAACTAATTCGAATTAAGTTAGTTCGAATTAGTGCTGTGGTGTAGACATACCCTGAGAGAGGGGGGATGGAGTGAGTGGGATGGAGTTTGGGGGAAGGGCTGGGGCTTCAGAGAAGGGGCAAGCTAGATTGTGAGTTGCCCTTATACTTCAGAAAGTGATCTTGGGCATGACAGATTGGAAACCACTGCTTTACATGGACAAGCACAGCCATGTGATCAGTTGTCTACAATGCCCTGTATAACTACATAGTTTCATCACTTGTGCGTAATGAGGTTATTCTGAATTCATGACAATCAATGCTTTATATCACATACTACCTCACCTTGCTTTGGGCATTCTCTGTGGGCCAGATAATCTGCTGACTAAAGTGGTGATTAAAGCTTTGTTAAATTCAAGGGCACAGCTCACACACATATGATTGAAGAATATGTTTAAGTGTTTCCTGGTTTAGGGACTAGGTACTAGCCTGGACTGAGGAGGGAGGCTTCTTAACTAATATCCTGGATAAGTGAAGAATGTTAAGACTAGCCACCCCACACTGTGGACACATCCAAGGCTGAGGAAGCTATCCAGCTGCAGAGGACTGCTGGTATACCACTGGGGGAGGAAAACTGTCGCAGGGAGAACACTGGCAGCTGGTTACTTCTGGCAGCATACAGTCCTCTACCCATAATCCCAACCCACCCACTATGGTGCTGGAAAACCATTACGCTGCTCTGGCAACAAGAGGATGCCTTGAATTTGCATCCCAGCAGATGTGCTGCCTGCCAGGAGCCTGTATCTGAGATATTACAGACGGATCTGGCCCTCTGACTATTACCTCATCCTATTCATCCATGTGAGTACAAAGGATACTGCAAGGTATTACCCTTGTCAGATCAGCAGTGACTACTCTGGGAGTATGAGAGAAAGAGTTTGGGGTACCGGTGGTATTCTTTTCAATCCTTCTGGTCAAGGGCCCAGGCAGAGACAGATGCATTCTGGAGGTGAATGCCTCACTGCAAAGATGTTGCCAGGAGGGCTTTGGCTTCTTAACCATGGGACACCGTTCTAGAAGGAAGGATAGCTAACCTGAGATACGGGGTCCATCTATCAAAGAAAGAGAAGAGCACTGAACACAAACTGGCTAACCTAGTGAGGATGGCGTCAAACCAGGTGACCAAAGCCCAAAGGTAGGTCAAAAACATGAAGACCTGGTAGAAAGGTTAGAAATTGGGGGAAGCGTGAGCTGTAATAGCAGGGATAAAGAAGGGACAAAACAGAACTATAGTGGAAATCAAATCAGTATGGGTATGTCTACACTACCCCGCTAGTTCGAACTAGCGGGGTAGTGTAGACATACCCCTAGGGAAGTAGTGGAGTCTCCATCCGTAGCAGTGTTTATGTCTCAGCTTGACAAATCCCTGGATGGGTTGATTTAGTTGGGATTGGTCCTGCCTAGACTTGATGACCTTCTGAGGTCTCTTCCAGTTCTATGGTTCTATGATTCTATGATTCTTGTGTCTTGCACATTATACTCCTGTTAATGCATCCCAGAATTATGTTTGCTTTTTTTGCAATAGTGTCATACTTTTGACTCATATTTGGCTTGTGATCCACTATGACCCCTAAATCCCTTTCTCCAGTCCTTCTTCCTAGCGAGCCACTTCCCATTCTGTATGTGTGAAACTGATTGTTTCTTCCTAAGAGGAGCACTTTGCATTTGTCCTTATTAAACTATATCCTATTTACCTCAGACCATTTCTCCTTTGTGTCCACATCATTTTGAATTTGACCCTATCCTCCAAAGCACTTACAACCTCTCCGAGCTTGGTATTGCCTGCAAACTTAATTAGCGTACTCTCTATGCCATCATCTAAATCCTTGATGAAGATATTGAACAGAACTGGTCCCAAAGCAGACTCAGCACCCTGTCTCAGGCCCCAGTCTCAGGCTCCAGTATGGAGGGCCAGTCCATTAGTCTCTGGGCAAAGGCCCAGGGCCACACACTCCCCATGCATCTCACTGACTGGAACTTTTGGAGATACTTCTCTGCCAACAAGCGCACCACGTCTAGGATGGCTGCCCTTGTGGTCTCATAGTCCCAGGCCTGTTCATCGCTCAGTGTCATTTAGGCCTCTTGAGCTTTGTCTGCCAAGTAGGGAGCTAGCTGTAGGGCTCAGTAACCTGATTCCATATGTGCCTCTTGCTACCTGCTCTGACATGCAAAGGTACACATCTGAGTCATCAGCCAAGCCCATTTCACAGTATTGCAAGCCAGCCTGCCCGATGTCATTCCCCATCAAAGGGCTCACCAGGTGCTGGAGGAGTTGCTGCTGCGTGCTGGGCTGCTCTCTCATAAAACCCTGCAGGCTTTTCTGCTGCCTGCCAGGTTAGCAAGGTCTGTCGCTCAGCCTAGTGGGACTGTGGAAGCCTTGCAGGACCTTCTGCACCTGTTCCTGCTTCTTCACAAATCCCTGCAGGGTCTCTCTCATCTCTGGGTTGCCAACCATTATCCATTAGCTCTAGGTCACCTGAGCTCTTTTGTTGTGATGTATGTTCTCACCTCCTTCTCTTCAGGGAAGAGCCTCGGGAACACACCTGAAATATTATTGCCTACAGAGAAGAGTGCCAATGCTCTCTCCTCCTTTGGCTCCCTTCTCTTCCCCTTGCCAGCCTCTATCTAGCTCCTGGCTAACAAGGCTGGAGGCTGCTCCCTATTGGCCCATCAGCCAATTTCCCTTTTTTTGGTGCTGATGTGGTAGGCGTATAACTCAGCTTTCCTTACTCACCACTACGTCACGACCTTAAATGGCACAACAGGGTGGAACATGCAACAGAGCAAGCCAACCATTTTGTTAAATATAAAAATGTACAGTATAGTTTCCAACATCTGGTAGCTGCAAACACCATACTTGAAAACGAAGCAGTATCTGCTCTCCTGAGTGGGGTGGAAGGTCTGGCTTCTGCCCTTTGATGAAGTCAGTTCAGCTTCAATCAAACTGACCAGGAACAAAAACTCTTGCAGAGATTATGCATTTATGTCATCAATTGTCTTCTCAATACTGTGAAATTCCAGTTTCATAAATAAACCAAGAGGAGGGGTTCACAGTTTGTAGCAGGAGGCTCAGAGAACACTGTAGTTTTGATAGTGATAGAAATGTAGCCGTGTTAGTCTGGGGTAGTTGAAGCAAAATGCAGGACAATGTAGCACTTTAAAGACTAACAAGATGGTTTATTAGATGATGAGCTTTCGTGGGCCAGACCCACTTCCTCAGATCAAAAATCTTTGTAGTTTTGATGACACTGTGGTAATGGATGTTTTTCAAGATAGTGCCTGTGCTCCACCTAACGAGGCAATATAGAAGCACCTGCTATTTAAACTTAATGTCATATGCCATGAAAATAATTTTTATACGAAAATTGTAGCAAGGAAATCAAATACTGGAAAATCCCCAGCAAAATTCTTAAGGAAGATGCCAAGTGCTAAGGAATGATACTCAAATGAGTCTTGTGTTTGTGTACAAGACAAAATTTACAGGCAGGGTGATAAAGTGGGACATGCTGAATGCTCCCGGAAGAAGCAGAAAATTAGAGTCATAGAGAAAAGAGGCTGTAAGCATGGGAGGAAACCAGCTAATGAAGTTTGGCCGCAGATAGAGGAAATACAAGAGGATAACTCAGAAAGAGAAAGGATTTGCACATCCTCACTGTAACGTTCTTACTCACAGCAGTGAGCAGTTGTGGACTCACAGTCTAACACTATGTCAGGGAATTCTCACTGATTCTGCAAAATTCCCTTACTGAAATAATAATTACTTCAACTGAAATGTTACTTGCCCCAGATACATAGCCCAAATCACTGTGGAGGTGAGGTAGAGCAGGGATTAATAATGCTATCATTTGCATCACTTTGCTTTTAGAACATATTCCTTCTATGACACTGCACCATAAATATCTAGACTAAGCAGATACATTTACAGTATTACCTGACTTTCTTCATAGTTTTTCCCATTTTCTTGTTTTATAATGGATTTGGGTTTTCTCAATTTTAAGTTGCCCATCCCAACCCGTAGTGTGGAGTCATGGGCTGTCTGTTCCACGTGCTGCTGGATGTCTTGTGGTGATGGCTGGCTTTCCTCTAAGACTGTTGCACTGTCAGGATAGTTTTCTTTGTTGTTTTCATCTCTAGAAGAAAATAAAATCAAAGATGTAACACAGGATTTTAGCCATCTCTCATAACAATCCTGAAGAGGACAGGTGTCTGGGTGCCAGCTTTACTTGATATGTCACTACAGCTAGGGTAAAGACATGCACAAACTAAACTTTGTGTATGTTCATAAAACAAGTCTGTGTTACAAGCTGCAGTTTATTAGCAGACCATACACTAACTGCATGAGTACACATTTGTATGCGGAGTAATTTAAACAACTGTAAAAATCAGAGACCTGTAAATTATGTGACCTCCATGGGGCCTGATCTATACTACAAAGGTAAGACAATGTAAGTTGCCTTGCACTAACCCAATTGTGCATGCATCTCTATTCAAATTTATCTCCTACTGATATAAGCATCTTCTTAGGCCAATGCAGTAACATCAGCTCCCCAATGGCTTTGAGCCATGGTCAATCTACTATGGCTGGCAAAGGGTGAATGCAGACAGCACATGGCCTATATCGACCCTATAGGTCCTCCAGAATTGTCCCACAATGCCCAACACTGGTCTGTGGCCCAGTGATCCTGGAGAGCAAAAGCCACCTCCACTTCACCTCCCACATCAGAGGTCAACAGCAGTACTGTGTGAAAGCAAAGGAACTGCAGCAGGCAGGCCAGAAAGTCAGGGAGATCAACCGTCAAGCTGGTGCCAAGCCACAGACCTACTGCTTTAACAAGGAGCTGCATAGCAGAGGCCCCACTAGCATCCCACTGAGCAACATGGATCTTACCAAGGACACCCATACACAGTGAGAACAGTGAGAAAGAGGAAGATGAAAACACTCAACCATGGGGTCCAGCTATGCCATGAACCAGAATCAACCCAAGACTCCACCCCAGTCCAGTTACTCCCTACAGGTGAGCCACATTCAGGGAAGGAACCTCAGGTAAGTGTGTGAAGGCATTTTCCATTGTAATGTTGAAATGTGCAGATGGTGCCTGACCCCGACATAGCATGACAGAGGTAGCGACTTTTCATTAATTGATTTAATTGAAAGAAGTAGCAGCATAACCAAGAGAGGTGGAGTTATCTGCTTTTCATTCCTGGCAGAGTAATCTGTGTGGCCCATGAGCAGCTCTTGGTTTATAGACATAAGAATGTGCCTTGAATCCTCCTGAGAAATTTGGATGCAGCTCCCTTGGAAGTATCCTGCAATCCTCTCCTGAAAGTTTCTAGTACTGGCAACCTTATCTCTAACTCTGGGGTGGGATGTTTTCCCACACCATTCCATGAAGACTTTAGCAGGCACCACTACAGTAAATGAGCTAGCAGAACATGGGCCAGTGCACCTTAGGATACAAATAGTGCCTTTGTTACCCTGAGGAATGAGAGATCATCTAAAACCATAATAGACTAGAGAAAATACCGTCAAAAACGAGCCACAGATATCCACATTCGCAGATGTGGATACTCATGGATATAAAGTGGATATCCATGGATTTTCAGGGCTCTACACGTAGCATTGGTGCTCAGTGCCCTTAACTTGCACTCATACACATGGAAAAAGGGGCCTAGTTTTTACTGTTTCATGCAACCAAACAATTCCCTCCTCATACCCACTGTTCCCTGCACCCATCCTTGACCATACACAGCATGGCTCGGACTTTAAAGCAGTGTTGTACACAGGTAGTCCAAGGATGAAGTAGCAAGAAGCAGTCTTGTTTAAAAATCTGGAGGAGAAAGGGAAGTAAGCTCTGAAACCTAACTTGTGCTGTCTATGATCATTACACAGCAATACATTTTACAATACACACAGAATGCCTGACCAAAACAAAGACAAGAAAGAAGAGGACATGAAATGTTCATCAAGATCCTGCGAAACAATGCCACATTGGAGACAGGGCCAGCAGGGTGAACATTGCCAGCAGCCTGGAGAAGGAAAGAGCAAACAGAAGAAAGGTCCAGGTTCCAGCAGGAAAAAGAGAGGATATAATGCGCCAGGATATAATGGGGGCTTTTCTAGAAGCCAACACAAATGCTGCAGATTTTTGTTGACCTACAGGTTCAATAAGTAGAGGCTCACCTCCCTTTGCAGTCAATGGAGAACTTCATCCAATCAATTCTCTACATCCCTCAAGGTTTCACTTGGCTCCAGGAACCTCATCCTTATCCCAACCAATCTGCATCAGGGGACCATAGGAAAACCACAACTTGTGAGAGTCACATGTGTAGCCAAAATGGACAGAAATGGACATGAATATTCTGTCTCCTTGTTAAGTTCTGTTCTGTTAATTTATTTTAGAAGAAGCTTTTATTGAATGCCTTTTTAAATTGTACCTTTTATTGCATAACAAAATCAGTGCAAAAACTAATCTACTTTCTGGTAAATAATTAATCTTTAATACTCCATAACATATTCTAGAGGAAGCAGAGCACTGCTGACATTTCCCACTTCCTGTTATTGTAGAGATCAATAAATTACATAGGGTCAGTGGCAAATACAGTGTGATAATTCTAAATTCCCAGAAAGCACCATAATTACCAGACAGTGTTATGTTCATAAAAGTACACCAAGCACCACACATTTCCTAACAGTCCCCAATACTTCAGGGACAGGAAAAGCACAATCCACACAATGAATTGCTGTGGCTAATTGTTAAAAGTGCTCTCTCTACGCCTCCAGCTGCATAGCTCCACCCTGAGCTATTGGAATAGCCCTTGTACAGATGCTCCATCTCTACCTCGGTAGCAATTTTTTCCCATTTATTTCATAGATATTATGCAGGACACAACAGGCAGCTATAATCACTTTTTTTCTTCTCACTGAGATCCAATCTTGTGAGTAAACACTGACAGCATCCCCTCAACCTAAAGCACGATTAGCTGTCATTCTGGCTCTGCTGAGCTGGTAGCTGAATCTTTTCTTGGTACTGCCAAGGCGATTGGTATATGGTTTCATTAGCCACGGAAGTAATAGGTAGACTGGGTCCTCCAGGACCAGTACTAGCATTTAACATCACCACTGTAATCTGTTGATTGTGAAACAACCTCTCTGCTTAGTGATGTGTCATGAACTCTCTCTGACTAGCCAACACCCATGAAGAATCCCTAATGAGCCACAAGCACTTGTATAACCACAGAAAAGTAGCCTTTTCTGTTAATGTCTTCTGTGGCAAAAAGTGGTCTGTTGTCTGCCCACCGTAGTTCAGGAGCCCCGTTGCTGCAAATCCATTACCTATGTCACATACCATGGGGTATGTCTACACTACTAAGTTAGTTCGAACTAGCGCTGTAGTGTAGACGTACCCTTACTTAGTATCATAGCACTGTGTAGCAGTACACAATTAATGGCCCTGCACACTTGCATGACAAAGACCACCCACTGCAGATTTTTCAGCTCCAAAATGATTACCCACTGACCAGCACCAATTAGAAGATGCAAGTTTTCAATATGTGATTGTCAGCTGTCAGTGCATCTCTTATTCTGATACCCCTACATTACTGATGGGAAGAGGTTGGCATCCCGATGCGGGAACATGACCTTTTGCATCCAAATATTATGCAACTACTGCTCATCATCCCAAACATGCATAGCAATTTAATCTCACCAGTCAGAACTTTCTCAGGCCCAGAAGTGGTGTTCTGTTTTTTACACTTCCCCTGGATACCATAAATAGCAGAAAAGATAGTTACCTCTTCTGTAAATAGTGTTCTTTGGGATGTGTTGCTCATGTCATAGAATCACAGAATCATAGAACACTAGAACGGGAAGAGACCTTGCAACGTCATCAAGTTTAGTTCCCTGCCCTCACAGCAGGACCAAGCACTGTCTAGATCATCCGCGATAGATGTCTATCTAACATGTTCTTAATATCTGCAGTTATGGAGATTCCACAACCTCCCTAGGCAATTTATTCCAGTGTTTGACCACCCTGACAGTTAGGAAGTTTTTGCAATTTAAGCCGGTTGCTTCTTGTCCTATCATCAGAAGCCAAGAAGAACCATTTTTACTCCCTCTTCCTTGTAACACCCCTTTAGATACTTGAAAACTGCTGTCATGGCCCCTCCCAGTTGCCTCTTTTCTAAACTAAACAAGCCCAATTCTTTCAGTCTTCTCTCATAGGTCATGTTCTCTAGACCTTTAATCATTGTTGTTGCTCTTCTCTGGACCTTCTCCAATTTCTCTACATCTTTCTTGAAATGTGGACACAATACTGGACACAATACTTCAATTGAGGTCTAATCAGCACAGAGTAGAACAGAAGAATGACTTCTTGTGTCTTAATCATAAAACTCCTGTTAATACATCCCAGAATTATGTTTGCTTTTTTTGCAATAGTGTCATACTGTTGACTCATATTTAGCTTGTGGTCCACTATGACCCCCAGATCCCTTTCTGCAATATTCCTTCCTAGACAGTTACTTTCCATTCTGTATGTGTGAAACAGATTGTTCCTTCCTAAGTAGAGTACTTTGATTCTGTCCTTATTAAACTTCATCCTCTTTACCTCCGACCATTTGTCCAAATCATTTTGAATGATGATCCTATCTTCCAAAGCACTTGCAACCCTTCCCATCTCGGTATCTTCTGCAAACTTAATAAGTGTAGTCTCTATGTTCCAAAACAGACCTCCGCAAAACCCCACTTGTTATGCTCTTCCAGCATGACTGTGACCTCTCTAAGGGTATGTCTACACTAGAAAGTTAGTTCGAACTAACGGACGTTAGTTCGAACTAACTTTCCTATGCGCTACACTAGCGCTCCGCTAGTTCGAATTTGAATCGAACTAGCGGAGCGCTTAGTTCGAACTAGGTAAACCTCATTTTACGAGGACTAACGCCTAGTTCGAACTAGCTAGTTCGAACTAAGGGCTGTGTAGCCCTTTAGTTCGAACTAGTGGGAGCCTAAGGCTTCCCAGGTTTCCCTGGTGGCCACTCTGGCCAACACCAGGGAAACTCTATGCCCCCCTCCCGGCCCCGGACCCCTTAAAGGGGCACGGGCTGGCTACGGTGCCCGTGCCAGGTGCAAGCC